TGGCTGGTGTCATGAGTAGCATTCCACATCATTGGACAAGAAGATCACCCACGTGGCTACTGTCATGAGTAACAATCTACATTATTGGACATACAGATCACCCACGTGGCTGATGTCATGAGTAACAATCCACATCATTGGACATGCAGATCACCCACGTGGCTGCTGTCATGAGTAACAATCCCCGCCACTGGACATACAGATCACCCACGTGGCTGCTGTCATGAGTAACAATCCACATCATTGGACATAGATCACCCACGTGGCTGCTGTCATGAGTAACAATCCACATCACTGGACATACAGATCACCCACGTGGCTGGTGTCATGAGTAACAATCCACATCATTGGACATGCAGATCACCCACGTGGCTGCTGTCATGAGTAACAATCCCTGCTACTGGACATACAGATCACCCACGTGGCTGCTGTCATGAGTAACAATCCACGTGGACATGCAGATCACCCACGTGGCTGCTGTCATGAGTAACAATCCACATCATTGGACATGCAGATCACCCACGTGGCTGCTGTCATGAGTAACAATCCCCGTCACTGAACATGCAAATCATCACCCACGTGGCTGAGTAATCAATCCACATCGTCATGCGTATCACCCACGTGGTTGCTATCAAGGAGTAACACGCTGCTGTCATGAGTAACAATCCACATCATTGTACATGCGTATCACCCACGTGGCTGCTGTCATGAGTAACAATCCCCGCCACTGGACATGCAGATCACCCACGTGGCTACTGTCATGAGTAACAATCTACATTATTGGACATACAGATCACCCACGTGGGTGATGTCATGAGTAACAATCTACATCATTGGACATGCAGATCACCTACGTGGCTGATGTCATGAGTAACAATGTACATCATTGGACATACAAATCACCCACGTGGCTGGTGTCATGGTTAACAATCTACATCATTGGACAAGAAGATCACCCACGTGGCTGCTGTCATGAGTAACAATCCCCGCCACTGGACATGCAGATCACCCACGTGGCTGGTGTCATGAGTAACCATCCACATCATTGGACATGCAGATCACCCACGTGGCTGCTGTCATGAGTAACAATCCCCGCCACTGGACATGCAGATCATCCACGTGACTGGTGTCATGAGTAACAATCCCCGCCACTGGACATGCAGATCACCCACGTGGCTGGTGTTATCATGAGTAACAATCCACACAAATGGACACGAACACTAATTAGTCCTCTCCAGTGATCTCCAGTAGGTTGTTTAATACCTGTCCCACAGAGACATGTTCTGAAAATTGAAATGATTCCGAATGCAGTCATTAAATTGTTGATGCACACAACAATGTGCACTAAGTAAAACTTGGACCACTGACAGAATGAATGATTGTGTTGTCAGCCTTCTGAATAATCACAACAGCGCCAGCACAGAGGGCAGCGATGGTCATATTTTTTATGTCAGAAGGGGCCCCAGAGTTGATTACAGCGACAGTTATCTCCCCCTGCTCTGGCAGTTTACATCCTCATCTCAGTTGTTACTGCTCGCGGTATTTTATTGTCACGCGATGGTACTGGGATAAATTAGCCAGCCAGACAGAAATCATCGAACCAGGAGCATTACAACAATTGCTGTTGCCTAAAAGTGTCTTTAGCAGTGTCTTTGGCATTTTAATTATTTCTTTACTAGTGGAAGTTCTTTGGGGACCAGGACGGGGAGCAAGTTAGGTCAAATTGCCAAGCTTTTCGTACTTGAAAATCGATGTGTATTGTCGCCCAGATTGTCATATATGATTATAGTCTGACGCGCTCGTCGTAAAATAGATTGGTACAACCAACTTCGAGGTCTACCAAGGTGAAATTGCCGCTTTTCCTGGTATTTGGGAGCGAGGGGTTAAGGAAAGTAGATATTATGGTGTAGAGATATAAGCGACAAGATTGGAGGGCCGACGAGTCATAAACATGATCGTGCCTCCCTCTTGTGTTTTAATTGCTGGGTTTGACTACAGACGGTTATGAAGTGTTCAGGAAAAACACTTAGCCGGATGGATGTCGGTAAAACCTAGAATTATTGGGTCCAATTTTCCCCGCTCCCTACTAATTAGCGGGCAATGATGCTGTGATAAGATGTTACTGTGTTCTGACAAGTGCTATAGATTCTAGTGTCACATCAGTAATGGTGGTACACCGATACCTTTGTACCTTCGAGTAATTTGTTAAACTGATGTGCATGGTGTACGCCGAGATTCCTACGTGGTTCGCTCCTGTGTATATCTTCTGTGAAAGTCGGGGAGCGTGCTTGATGGGGTATATTCGTATAAGCTTGTAATAATTTGGTTTGTACTGATGTCATGATTCATTATTTCAAAACTTATGAAAAAGGTTGAACACCACTTATTTTGTGACTGTAACTGGTGAACTATTGTCTTTCAGTTTTGGGGTGGATCTGCAATCGTAGTTAAAATAATTGATCAATGGACATGAATTGCAACATTTGTGCGAGATTGATTGATTGATTGATTGACTAAATGATTGACTGACTGACTGACTGACTTGATTGATTGGTTGTTGTTTTTGTTTGTTTCATTGTTTGTTTGTTTTTTCATTTGTTTGGTTGGTTGGTGAGTGAGCGTAAATGAGTAGATGGTTGGTTGGCTGGGCTTGTGGCAGATGGCCAATGGGTGAATGAGGAAGTGGGTGTCTTTGTTTGTCTTTAATATTGTATTACATGTTGCAAAAAATAATCAATGTGTGTTTGAACTCCAGATGAGAGCACACATGGCTCTGGCTCAGTCATATCTTCAGGGTTTAATAATTTGCCATTATTCGGATACTTAACAAAATGTAAAGGTCCAGTCGAATTTAATATCAAGTACTGAAGAATATTGAACAGATAATTTTAACTTTGATATTCCTTTTCTAGTGAACATGTTAATACTTGATATAATAACATAATAACATTTCCAACCGACACCATCATCAGTGTAACATCTTATTCATATTGTTAGCATTTGTATGAAATAATGATGATGACGTTAGTTGCAATCCATTACTTTTTTGTGCGAAGGCTGCGAATGTTTACACGAACAGTGAGTGAGTGAGTGAGTGAATGGTTGGCTGGGCTTGTGTCAGATGGCCCAAGTTCAAGAATTGTTTGAGTTAAAGAACTGAAAGATATTCAGATTTTCTTTTCATAGGACAACCTCTCTAGTAGATACCGACATAATTCTATTCGAGTATAATGACTTTGAACATTTGTCACTGTTATAGGCAACCCATTATCCTCACCAAGGGCGTGACGTCATATCTGCTAATTGATTGTTAATTTCCAGTTGTCATAAGTGATGTTTTTTACAATTTAAAAAAAACCCCGTTTCATAATTCAATTTAGATCACAGGTTGTGAACAATATATAATAATATGCCCACTTATATTGCGGTGAGCACCACGCCGGAGGGTCATGCTCTAAGCGCATACAACATGATGGATTTTATTACCCGGCATAACCCTAGCTGCCTGTGAGGCGCTAGAAGGTTAAGAGTCATGTGACTTATCCCACTGGGTACCCATTTTCTGCTGGGTGATCAGAGGCAGTTTTGAACAAACTCACTTGCCTAAAGTGAGACCACATGTGTGCTTCGTTGTGGTGCAGGACTGAAGTCCTAGAAACTCTCAGGAGTCAAGCTGGCAAACACGGTCACCCATCAAAGGACTCTCCGCGCCCAACGTTGCTTAATGGAGAATACGAATGAATTGCAATAATTTGCTGGGTGAAAGATAAAGTCATCAGAAACATATTCCCAAATTTTCAATTAAAAATGAAGTTGTGAGGTAAAATCAAAGAGGAAGCATCAGCAACAGGCACATATGACGTCATGTCACGTGATATCCCCTCTGCTCATTAACTGTCGGGTGTTTCCGTAATAGGCGGAAATACGAGTACGTTTTTGTGTTTTTATTGCTATTTTACAAACTTTTTGTTCAATTTTAATCACAGAATGTGACTTTTAGAATATCCTTCACAATATATCAAAAGTTTTGTTTTCGTTCGTATTCTCCTTTAACTTCACCTAGACACGTGACCTGACAAACCATTGATTATTGTTACATGCCATTACAGGGACACAACGTCACCGAGCCCGATCTGATCCATTCAATTACGACATGCGTAGGTTGCCGAGGACCTGTTCTAACTCGGAAATCCGGGATGCATTACATACATAGTGTTATCGACAAGGGCGGGTATACCCCACGTCAACTGTCTATTGTGTTGCTTGGGGATGAACTTCCCTTACCTTGTCCCCAACTGCACCTCCTTCAGATGTCTCGATAAGGCGCGATCAAAGATGGGCCCTCGATTAAATGCGGAGCAGATTGTATTTGGCATTTTTATTCAGCGATATCCTGTATCTAAATGAAATGTTTACTTGTACCGTTCCTCTCTTTTTTTTATGTCGAAGCGGATCTCTTTATTCTTTTACAGAATGACACCTCGCCTCGATACCGCTCCCATTGACATTAGCATTACCTAACAATGCTCCATCCATCAGAGACCGGGACGGTGGGGTAGCCTAGTGGTTAAGGCGTTCGCTCGTCACGCTGAAGAGACGGGTTCGATTCCCCACATTGGTACAATGTGTGAAGCCCATTTCTGGTGTCCCTCGCAGTGAATATTGCTTGACTATTGCTAAAGGAAGCGTAAAACCATACTCACTCACTCACTCCACGAGAGACCAGCTGTCCTTCATCTGGGACATTCTTAAAGGTAATTGTCCGTATCGTGACGTTTCCGGACACATGGTGTCCGGTCTAACAAGGGCCCAGGTATCAGGTATCAGATATGTTATACTCTGGAGTAGTCTCCCTTGCAGACCCTGCCTCCGTTTACTAAAACACCCCTCGGTGCCCGCTCCGCTCTCACTTCATCCCGAGCTCTAGCAGTTTATAATTTTCTCGTTCTCTAATCCCAGCCTGGAAGCAAGATACTCTATGTCTCTAGATCCTTATCTCCTTGTGGAATTATTTGTGTTTAACCTAATAGATAACTATATTGCAGGGAGAAGGTGGGGTATTGGTTCTAGAGGTACGGGGTTTCTCATTATGTCAGTGTATATGAAGAGCGCCAGTAACAAACCTTGGCGTTAATCGCTTTTGAAGCATAATTAACATCTGTACATAATTTTATGTTTTATAGGTCTTCGTTGAGATGTAGTGCCAACATAACACTATACATAACGCCATTGGCTGATTAGTTTGCATCGAAACAAGACTATAAACCAACTAACGTTTATGAGCGAAGGATATACTTTCTGTCAGTGAGTGAGTGAGTGAATTTAGTTTTATGCCGCTTTTCGCAATATTCCAGCAATATCACGTCGGGGAACACCGGAAATGGGCTTCACACATTGTATCCATGTAAGGAATTGAACCCGGGCCTTCGGCGTGACGAGCGAAAGCTACTACCACTTGCCTCATCCCCTCAGTTACGATCACGTTACGTCTCGTGATGCCATAAGGCACCCCTTTCTTCCTGAACCGACAGGTGAAGATCCGGGTTAGAATTGATCTTCAGTAACCCATGCTTGTCGTAAGAGGCGACTAACGGGATCGGGTGGTCAGGCTCGCTGACTTGGTGGACACATGTCATCGTATCCCAATTGTGTAGATCGATGCTCATGCTGTTGGTCACTGGATTGACTATTTACACACCGCCGCCATGCTGAGTGTGGCGTAAAACTAAACTCACTCACATAAATACTGAGAATAATGGAGACCAATTTTTTGAAAATTGATCAAAATCATTCTTTAATTTGGAAATAAATATTTGAACTTTGAATGTATCTTTAAAAACTTTAAGAAATTATTAAAGTTTTTATACCTTTTTTTCAGAGTGCAAATGTAAACGTGTCTTTTAGCAGAGAAAATTATATGGTTTAATAGTGGTTCTAGGAACTTTGTCAGATGCAATTCCTGTATGTTTTGATTAATCCAGTATTGAAGGTCATTCCATTCACATCACTACAAAAAAGAACATATTGCATAGTCAACCAATTTCATTCTCACCAATCCTTTTTAGCATAAATAATTCCATGTAGGAACGTATATTGAAAGTTGACTGCGTGTCCGACCAGTGAGACGTTGTTCATTATATCAGTCACTGGTTTGTCTGCACCAGACTCGATTGTTCACAGAACGCGGTTACTAAGCTTGGACACTGCTCAGTGTGAAGTTCAACAAACACAGAATATACTTTTTTCTGTGTGTCATCAATGAATTAGGGCGGTTGGGTAGCCTAGTGGTTGAAGCATTCGCTCGTCACGCCGAAGAACCGGGTTCGAATCCCCACATGAGTACAATGTGTGAAGGCCATTTCTGGCGTCCCCCGCCGTGATATTGCTGGAATAATGCTAAAAGTGGCGTAAAACTAAACTCACTCACTCATCAATGAAACATTGCGAGTCAGTGTGAATGCTGGAGCACAAACGACACAGTGTAGTACCACTGGCCCATCCTTGTTCGCAGATCCTGGCGGATCCACGTCTGTCTACATACGTTGCACTTTCATACCATGTATAAGAGATTATAGTGCACGATTTTATCCAATAATAAACACACAAATTGTCAACTTAACATCTTTTTGATTACTTTGCTTACTATTCAAAACCGTCGTAGAAAAGTTTCTGAAAAGTAATTTATGTAATTCGTAGTACCTAGAACATGTTTAATTGAAAGTAATCGATTGGCCCCTACTACCTTGAACATACAAACCACCACACTCGGCTCTTCTCAGTCGCACGTAGCACCTTGGCGAACGGTGGCAGGAATCCATATTATAACTGAATTCGTGCATGTGACTATCACATGACGCAATACTTTCTGACAGCAGTCTGGGGTGAGTGAGTGAGTGAGTTTGGTTTTACGCCGCATAAAGCAATATTCCAGCAATATCACGGTGGGGGACACCAGAAATGGGCTTCACACATTGTACCTATGTGGGGAGTCGAACCCGGGTCTTCGGCGTGACGAGCAAACCACTAACCACTAGGCTACCCCAGCGCCCCAGATAGTTTCAGTGTCTTCGTTTGCTTTTCTCTTCAGTGTTTATTTAAGCAAAGAATAAACAGTCCTCGAAACTGACATGTTATATGAAAACTACTTGCTGCGGGATAAGGGTGACGTGGTTTACAGAGAAATAAACCAATATACATCACTCATAGACGCTGGAAGTATCATGCTGGAACATCCCTGTGGACCCGATTGAACCCGAGTGGATCCGAGGGGCATACGTTACGTGGTTTATAGTGAATTCATGTAGTATCATTGACGCGCGAAGTATTGTACTTGTAGCGGAAAATGCCAAGTGGACTCGAATGGACCCGAGTAGATCCGAGTGGCATAGACACAGTAGGACTTGGGATACGCGAGTGCTTTACACAAGTTAGACTTGACCGTTAGTTAAGCTGGCCTACCATGCGAGATATTACATGTGAAAGTCGACCACGAGCCATTCCGAATGATGAAGAGTGGTGTCCAGTGACAGGTAGCCTGGCCTCCCCTGTTGTTTGGGATATACGATACGTCCAAACTGTCCGTACAGGAAATACGAGTAACTGAGAGAGATGACCAAACCTTTAACAGGGGACGGTTTCAACTCAATTACGGTGACTGAGAACTTTGAACTGGATATTAAGTTTCAGCAATATAAGAACAGAGAAGGTTGATTGTCGCATTTAGTTCTTTCACAATGCTAAGTTATTTGGATAATCCCAATGCTAAATCCCTGATGATCCAGAGTAATTTCCAAGGATATTATGCCTGGGCCCCGTTTGACGAAGCTATCGTAGCGCTACGACTTTCGTAAGTCTGTGTTACAGCTTTCATACCAAAAAATCCCCAGGTAGACCAACGCTCTCTTTGAAAATATATAAATTTGATAAAAAGAAGTAACACTATTCTTAAATTGGAAAGGATCACCAGAGATGGGAGATTCTGAACCGGGGTAAATTCTTAACTTAGTTATTAGGCTATAGCTATACATAAAGTAAAATTGGGCGAGAGGGAAAATAATATGGTTTATATATTGGGATGTCTGACGGAAGACCCCGGGTTCTTTTCCAACTGGTAATTGTGTGAAGCCCGGAATATATGAATATTTATGAGATACTGTAGAGCGGCTTGCAACCATACTCAGTCACTCGATACAAAGAGGACATTAGAAAGTACACTTCCGAATATTCTACAAATACCGTTGTTTTGGTGACCAGGGCCTAGATTTTCGAAGCTCTCTTAGCGCTAAGATAGTCGTAAGTTAATGTTAATGTATGACACTTACGACTATCTTAACGCTAAGAGAGCTTCGAAAATCTAGGTCCAGGGCCCCGTTCCTCAAAGCGATCGTAGCGCTACGACAGTCGTAAGTCTGCATTAAAGTATGAGAGTAACGATCAACTTAGGTCCCAGGGCCTAGATTTTCGAAGCTCTCTTATTGCTAAGATAGTCGTAAGTTAATGTTAATGTATGGCACTTACGACTGTCTTAGCGCTAAGAGAGCTTCGAAAATCTAGGCCCTGGGTTCCGATCCATCAAACGTTCGTAACGTTACGACCTGTCGTAACTGTGTAGTTTATCACAGGCTAACGAATGTCGTAGCGCTACAAACGCTTTGTAGATTGGGACTCTGATGCACAAAGAGGTCGTAGATTAACTTAGCTCCCACAATGTGACTTACGAGGACCGTAGCACAACGATATGCTGTAGTATCGTTCCACATAGACAATTGGCAAGGGAGGACATGGTTTCACGAAGCGATATTAGGGAGAGGGCTATCCTTCACCTGTGTAACACTGCGTGAATTATGACAGCCGTATCACAAGGGTCGCTTTGGGAGACTGACTGACTGACCGACTGAGTTTGGTTTAACGCCGCTTTTAGCAATATTCCAGCAACATCACGGCGGGGAACACCAGAAATGGGCTTCACACATTGTGCCCATGTGGGGAATCGAACCCGGGTCTTCGGCGTGATGAGCCAACGCTTTAACCATTAGGCTACCCCACCGCCCCCGCTTTGGGAGAGGAGCATTTGGAACTGAATCGGATCTCACTCTTCCGACGACCTTAGTCTGTCAGTGAGTTTTGATATAACTTCAGTGATACAATAAGTACGTTTGGTATTTTGAAATATAGAAATTTTGACAACTAATTCGGGTGAAATTCTACTGATTCTCAAAAAATATACACATGATATATTTTAATGGTTCGCAAGAAAATGATCACTTGCTTCCTTTAAAGAGTCACAAAAAATCAAGTAAAGAGCTTCTGTTACCGCTTGTCAAGGAACTACTCATGGAATTCCTGTACCGATCCTCAAGGAGTGTACACATGAATTTGCAGGGATACAAACATAAGAGTCCTACAGATTGTCGAGGAATTTAAACATGGCCTCCTTTACAGATTATCAAGAATTGAAGAATTCAAACCTGTTTGCCTTTTGCGCTAGATGGAGTCTCCGGGAGTGATGGAGGCTGGCTGTATGCTGGTGCTGACGGTTTATATTCAACTATTCTCAAGCAATTTCAATATGGTTGCTTGGTTTGTTGGTTGGTTTGTTGTTGCACTCAGCAATATTCCAGCTCTATGGCGGCGGTCTGTAAATATTCGAGTCTGGACCAAGCCAGTGATCAACAGCATGAGCATCAATCTACACAAATGGGATACGATGCCATGTGTCAATCAAGTCAGCGAGCCTGACCACCCGATTCCGCTAGTCGCCTCTTACGACAAGCATGGGTTACTGAAGACCAACTCTAGCGCGGATGTTCCCGGGTAAGATTCAAAAATGGATAATTATTTATTCATTTTCAAGAGATTTAAACATTTGAAAATCTCAGGTGCGTGGTTCTGTGTAATTTGAAAACAATCTATGTGATTGTGTATCAAAGTAACTGAGGACTATGAACCACATAGGCGGGAATTGACGAGATATTACGGGACATAACGAACAGACCTGATACACCCAAACGCCATAATCGGACGTAACAGTGAGTGTATGAGTTTTAAGTTTACGCCGCTTTTAGCAAAATTCGAGCAATATCATGGTGGTGGACATGAGAAATTGGCTTCACTCATTGTACCCATGTGGGGAATCGAACCCGGGCCTCCGGCGTGACGAGCAAACGCTTTATCCACTAGGCTATCCCACCACACCCTGACGTAATAGACCAAATATACTAAACAAAAAGGTAAGGGCAGCCCCAATTTTCAATATTAAAGTATTTAATAGTACATATTATGATCAACATAATACTTAAATAGTGTGTGTGTGTGTGTGAGTGAGAGTGTGTGTGAGTGAGAGTGTGTGTGTGTGTGAGAGAGAGAGAGAGAGAGAGAGAGAGAGAGAGAGAGAGAGAGAGAGAGAGAGAGAGAGAGTGTGTGTGTGTGTGTGTGTGTGTGTGTGTGTGTGTGTGTGTGTGTGTCCTTAACGTTTTTGTTGAGTATACATTCCCAGTGCACATGCGATGTTTGTCAACAAAATGCTGGAGCTGGAATCTGAACTTTTCAAACAGTTAAAAAAGTGTTCCTTTCCTCTTCCTTAAACAATTTTTAAATATGAACTACCTTCACCCCATAGGTGCATTTACCTCAGTGCATCCGTTCAGTCTTTACAGGTGAAGCTCGTCACACCATCTCCCCAGCGGTGGTCTATTGACGCCATTGTCTATGTTAAGGATATAATGTGCACACCGACAATGGGATGAACATACCAGCCTGTCATCACCACTGCTGCCAGGCTCTTCACAGCTTCCGGTGGATTGCCTCCCTTTGCGTAACAGCCCTTCGCACATGTACATTGAGAAAACAGGATCGCTCCTTTTTATCTTTTCAAAGTTATGCTTCCTGTGTTCTGTTCTTGCGTCGGGTTTGTTTTAAAGGGAGGAAATGTACGTCTGTGTCATCACAAATAAAGCTTATTGACATGTAAATTGAGATTCTTGAGAGGCATGTGGATGTTGGTGAATATATAAGACAAGTGTTTGGATGGCAACGTCTTATTTATTGTATAACACAACGTTTCTGGGCCACTTCTTGCCCTTTCTTCATGTGATTGCCCCATCTACTGCCTGCTGACTCAATGACCTGAAGAAGGGGCAAGAAGTGGCCTAGAAACATTGTGTTATACAATAAATAAGACGTTTCCATCCGTATATGTCTTATAGACATGCAAATTGTTCCATATGTTGCCCTATGAACAATTAACCTGCCTTTGCATGAGTTTGTGACGGGTGGCATAATTAGGGCAGGCTATGTTTACCTTTTTGCGAGGGCTTGGTATCATGATTATGTGATAAGTTGAGATTTCGTATCATTATGTAATTATTCCCACGCATCCAATGCTAGAATCTGACCTTAAGGCCACACGTTACAGAGTTACAATCTTTCAGAGTCATGCTTGGATTCGATGGTCATGGGTTTTACTATCTGGATCTTCTAGATAATGATCCTTGGTTTGTGAACACCATACCTATGGCCTTCCTCTGAAGAGTGAGTGAGTGAGTGAGTTTGGTTTTACGCCGCTTTTAGCAATATTCCAGCAATATCACGGCGGGGGACACCAAAAATGAGCTTCACACAATGTCACCATGTGGGGATTCGATCCCAGGTCTTCTCCTCTGAAGATAAGATATATAATCATATAGCTGGATATTGTGCAAAATGACGTTGAACCATATACCCTAACTCGCTGTTAAACAATGTCAAGATATCTATCGTTAACTAACAGATACCACATCTCTGAGAACGATAGTTCAGTGGTGGTAAAATGGAATGAGTTTTGTGTTTTAGCTGTCTATATACCCTAACGAAATATTATTATTTTACCTTTGCACTTGAACAGTACTGTTATGATACGTAGCACATCAGTAGATTAAGATTTACAACAGGGTACTCGCATTAATCAGATAAGCCAGCAGTACCACATTGTACCCATCTTTGGCGTGACGAGCGAACGCTTTAACCACACGTCTACCCCACCGCCCCAGTAGATAGGTGTGAGTGAGTGAGTATGGTTTAACGCCGCTTTTAGCAATATTCCAGCAATATCACGCCGAGGGACACCAGAAATAGGCTTCACACATTGTGCCCATGCGGGGAATCGAACCCGGGTCTTCGGCGTGACGAGCCAACGCTTTAACCACAAGGCTACCCCACCGCCCCAGTAGATAGGAACAAGCAACACAACATATGTGTTACGATACACAAGCTGTAGCAAGAGAACGTGTCCCGTATCAATCTTCGGTAAACTGATGCAGTTCTTGTAGACCCTCTTTACTTACACTTGGGATAGTGTAAACAAACTGTTCTCCTGCCCATCAGCAGCTTCCTATTGACGTGTGGGTTATGTATGTTGTCTACGTTAATAACAGGTTACATGAATCTGTAGACACCGGGTGTCTTGCAGTAGCCTCACACAAAGTGGGGAGACTGGTCACGAATTACAGATATGTTGAATATGATTTACTTTTGCATTGTCTATTTTTCATATTCCAGCAATATCATATTCCAGAGGGGGGCACCAGAAATGGGCTTCACACATTGTACCCATGCGGGGAATAGAACCCAGGTTTTGCGTGACGAGCGAACGCTTTAACCACTAGGCTACCCGCCGCCTACAAAATGTAAGACACCTTTGTTGTGACGGACAGTCTTTAAACCTCCAATCAGCTACAGGAGTTTCACTGCTCAATATTTGCTGATATCTTATGGTGAACGAAACTTAAAGATAATTTCTGATATTGTCTAATATTTGAGATTTGTTTCAATTCTTGACCTGACAAAGTTTGCATACCTTTAAAATGTAAGGGTTGCTTGGTCACGCGATGAGAAAAACATGTATTTTTACACGAAAACACAAATGTCCTTTATCTGTTGTAATAGTGAGTGAGTGAGTTTAGTTTTACACCGCTTTTAGCAATATTCCCGCAATATCACTGCGGGGGATACCAGAAATCGGCTTCACACATTGTGCCCATGTAGAGAATCGAACCCGGGTATTCGGCGTGACGAGCAAACGCTTTAACCACTAGGCTGCCCCACCGCCCTTATATGTTGTAGCAACATAAATAGTGCATGGCAGACTATAGGTAGTTTCATGAACAACCTGAGGTCGCACATCTCCATTGTACCGAAACAAGTAACGAACGTCAACCCTGAAAATGTGGACCCAGGAGAAATATTGTAGGAGCGTTTCAATTACTTTCGTCATCATTTTAAATACGACTTTATGATTTTAGTTGTTCCACCAGTAAAACGAGGATTTTATAGACACCAATTTCATCAATATTCAACATTCGACAGAAGCAACCTTTAGTTAAGTCTTTTGTGTCACACACACGATGTCGTTTTGTTTACGAGCCCTTTAAGTAACTTCAACAGTATATTTTAAGGCCGATTTTGCACATGCCAAACAACGCTGTTGTGGTTATCTCCCTTGGATAAGTCTTCACGCTCAAGAGATGACGCGATCTACGTTGTCACCCCTGTCAATAAAGGGTCAGTGTGTGAGTGACTGAGATTAGTTTTACGCCGCTTTAAGCAATATTCCAGCAATATCACGGCGGGGAACACCAGAAATGGGCTTCACACATTGTGCTCATGTGGGGAATCGAACACGGGTTGACATGTGTCAACCAAGTCAGCGAGCCTGACCACCCGATCCCGTTAGTCGCCTCTTACCATAACCATGGGTTGCTGAAGATCAATTCTAACCCGGGTAGTATTTGATCAATATGATTTTTAAATACTGACCATAGTTACATTTTGTCAGTGGGGGTATATTGATATATAGCACCTGCCTGATGAAGCGTTGGAGACACATGGTCAAGTCCACAGTTTGACTCCTCGACGACACCAGACAAAATGGATGGCTTATACTTATAATTTTTGATTTCAGCATTACATTGGTTGTTGATAACTTTGTCTCCACTGTCCTACATCATTTAATTCACATTAAAGCTATGTCAAAGTTTATTCATAGACCTCAGAGTGAGTGAGTTAGGTATTTTACGTCACATCAGTCAGCGTGACGACATATACTGAGAATAGATACATTTATACTTTTTAGAAAGCTGTCATCGAAGGACAGTATGACAACTAGAGTATCACAGAATATGATTAAACCTAATCTGAGATCATTTCAAAATGATAAGGGACCGTTAATAATTTATGGCTTGGGTGAGTGAGTGAGTGAGTTAATATTTAACGTCACATCGGCAATATTTCAGCCATATAGTGACGAGAAATGTTTTAGACAAATAATAAATTAAAGTTGCTAAAGAATCAGTCAGCGAAGGACTGTAAAATAACTAGAGTATCACAGATGGAGTCTAAAACTAGCATGAACATGTAAAACTATTTTATTTATGAAGACAATACAATATAAAAACAGGCTGTAGATTGCTAACGACTGAAGGTAGATCACCATACTAGGGACCATGGGGACTTACAGTACATTTGCTTCCTGCATGGACCCTAGCTGGATTTACACCATCCCTTCAGCCGTCAGCAAGTTTAGACAAATTAGCCATAAGTTAAAATAACACATATTCTACGATTAAAACTAATGGTATGTTTAAATTTAGTTTGAATGTTTTGGGACTTACGTACCCCCTCAGGAGGACAATAATTTTACAGTGCTTCAACCCCCTTTGAGGATACAGCCACTAACAATCCCAGCTGCTCAATTAAACTACCAATTATAAAATATTTATCTATTTACAATTCATTCAACAAATCTAATTCTTTTAAAAATGCAATAACTAAATGAGAACTGATATTATTAAAAAGATCCTTCAGAGTTTTGGATTTGAAATAGATATCCCTTGTGATGGAATATTCAATGCAGTCAAGCAAGACATGCTTGACTGTGATTCTTTCATCACAAGGGATGCAAAACGGAGGATCTTCGCCTTTAAGCAAATATTCATGAGTATATCTAGTATGGCCAATGCGACATCTCCGCATAATGACCTCTTCAAATCTGGACTGACAACCCAAGTAGGTGTAACCAATGTAGGGTTTTATTGCATGTAATTTATTAATACCTACTTGGGTATCCCACTTCTTCTGCATTAGATCGCGGATGTATGGTCTAGTGCTGGCTTTGTAATCAGAGTATGGAATTAGAAGTGGTGTCACAGATTTGTTGAGTGCTGCCTTAGCAGCAAGATCGGCCATTGTATTCCCAGAAATGCCAACGTGGCTGGGTAACCAACAAAAGACGATATCGCATTGGCCAGTAGCAAGTTCATTGTACAATTCAATAATTTCTAATAAAAGTTGATGTTTACAAGAAAGATTTTTAATAGCCTGAAGACACGAAAGAGAACCTGAAAATATGATATATTGTTTATATTTACGGTGTTTATTAATATATTTAAGAGCTGTTAAGATGGTGTTTGCTTCTGCTGTGAAAATAGAGCTGTTATTTGGTAGTCGAGATGATATTGTTCTGGATCCAATGACAGTGGCACATGCCACTGCGCCACCATCCTTGGACCCATCTGTAAATAAGGATTTATATGTATTATATTTATTTCTTAATTGACTAAATTCTTGTTTATACTGTAATTCATTTGTTTCTGATTTTTTAAATGTAGTTAATGTAAGGTCAACTTCAGGCCTAACCAATTGCCAAGGCGGAGAAGAAAGAAAACGGGAAGGAGCTATATGTTCTAGCTCAATGCCAGCATCAGAAAGGAAAGGTTTCAATCTTATACCAAGAGGCGGAACAAGAGAAGGCTTCTTGTTAT